TCAGGTTTCAGTCCTTCACTGTCTATGTACTCCTTGAATTCCTGCACATTTTTCAGCCACTTTGTGGTCCAAACTGGCAGTCTCACCATGCCTTATCACACTATGTATGCCACTACAATTCTTAACCCTTTGACTGTTTCAGGCCCTTTTCTGAAACTGTCATTCTATGTTGCTCAATTTTTGAAAAAAAAAAAAAAAATTTTTTTCTTATGAAATGATAGAGAATCTTTTCCCGATGGTAATGACACCTAAAGTTCGAAATTTGTCGAAAATTTATGGAATTATGCTCCTGCGAAGTTAACGGTCTCGGCGACATATGCGTATCGGCGATTTCGCCGACTTTGAGCCCTATTTTTCAGCCAATTCCACTGTTTCAGTTGACCAAACTCATAGCTATTTCTTTAGAACTCCATTTTATCTATCAGCTGAGTACAAAAAACCTCCCATTTACTAATTTGGACTACCCAATATGGTGGTCAGAAATTGGCAATTTGGCCAATTTCATGCAAACTAAAAAAGATGCCAATTTCAAAATAGGGTCCAGAATAAACAAGGTAGACATTCGTGGCACTAAAATAACATATGCTCTGTTCATTAGTCACATCTCTAGGCCCCTCTTATATTATTATTGCTTTCTATTTTGATTTTTTATTCATACAAAAAATACAAAATTTACTGTTATGCAGACTACTGCATTATTGCAAAAATGGTATAAATAATATCAGTGCACTAGTGAAAGAATATTAGACTCCCCAGTTGACGTGTATTGGACGTGTGGTGTGATTTATTTACTCCTGAACATAGGTAAAAATCAAACATTTCCGCTACTTTGAGCTCAGTTTCAAGGTCGTTTTCATCGTCAAAGTAATGAAAATCATCTCTATTTCTGTAATATGTTTTCCATTTTATCACCTAAGACCATGAAAACGCGAATACAACGATAAATACTATACGAAAATACACCTCAAAGTCAGCGTTTTATTCCAAAAAAATGATCAGTTTTTTTTTTCTCATTATGCAATGTGTGCTGCAGGATTTTTTTTGTGGTGCACACCGATCACACAGACCCATTCTCTCACATGTGGGCCTACCAGCTTTCTCCCGCTTGATTTGAAGCCGCTAGAATTATTGAGTATATATACGTCAGAAACATTGGCTCGTAAGATGTATTTATACGTCGAAAACAGTCAAAGGGTTAAATCTCTCAAACCAACCTTTGCTGGCCTTAAATTCACTCGCATCACTAGTTGCAGGCATTTTTTTAATTAAATCATCATACAACTTCCTAGCCTTTTCACATACGATCACTTGAGAGATGCTATCACCTGCTATCTGTTTTTCGTTTATCCACACTAATAACAGTCTCTCAACATCTTCTATCACTTGCGATCTCAGTTTCGAAAACATAGTTGCACCTTTGGCAAGAACAGCTTCCTTGATTGCCGTTTTCTTGGCCACAATAGTAGCGATGGTTGATTGGGGTTTTGTGTACAACCTGGCCAGCTCGGAGACATGCACTCCACTTTCATACTTAGCAATGATCTCTTTCTTCATATCCATAGTGATTCTCACCCTTTTAGCTGTAGGGTTGGCACTAGAAGCTTTCTTGGGGCCCATGGTGACTTATTTTGCAGGTGCAATCATTAAAAACGCTGTGATAATATGAAATGTTCGATTGTATGTTTGGATGCGACCGCGGTGGCTGGCTTGTAAACACTGGCACCCACGGGACAAGTGAGAGGCGCGCTCAGGCCACATGTGGACGCGTCTCAAACGGAACGAATCGTGTTGGTTGAGTCTTTTAGCGCTAGTCGAGGCAAAATTTTTGCGTTAAAAATGTATCGCTAGTCGGATTTAACGTTATACGATGCCATCATTGATCGAGGGACCACTGTATTTAAGTCGTTTCTTACGACACGCAAGGCTTATGGGGGAAGAAATCTTTACCACTTCCCTGTTACAACCTGTATGCCTTCATATATTTTGTTGTATGATCTGGTACTAATCTGATCAAGTTACAAATAAATTCTTTCCCTTAAATATCCTTCAAAGAATGTGCAAAATTATAAAAGTACTTAGCTGTGCACATGAGTTTTGGTGTTTAGAAAAAGTAATTATGTACACAGGACAGTTGCAGTGAATGGACTAAGAAGTCATATTCATTAAATGAATTAGTGAAAAGCAATAGTTGAAACTCCAGTAGTTGATTAAATTTAGGTTTGTTGCTGCTGTTCTCAAAATGGCAAAATATTTTGTTGGAGAATAAGAAAGAAAAATGGTATAAATTTGTTCATTACTATAATTGGAACAAAAATATTAAATGACACTATCAAACCTCCCAGCAAAAAAGTGTACAAGTAAAACAAGCAGCCTGTATGACTTTATAGTTTTTCCATTATTTAGCAGCTTTCAGAACCAACCCATGATATTCAACGAGGCTTGCTTTTATGCATTTCTAATGTGGTGAACACACAAATAAAATATGGCTGGTCTAGAAAAAAAAGGAAAGACAAGTTATAAATGATTCCCAGATCTAGAAAAGAAAACAGTGCTGTATAGCCCTTGTGGTTTAGCACTTCTTTTTTATTATAATAAAAATAAAGAAAAGAGCTACTATCCTATGAAACAGTCATTAAAAATCCCCTTGTTGGCTAAAAAAAGAGAAAGAAGGGGAGACTTGATACCTACGTACAGTATATGAGAATAAGTACACTTAGGAGTCTTTGGAGACAAAGAACTTTATCAATGGAAGTAAAGAGGGGAATGTATATGAGTATAGTTATACCAACACTCTTATATGGGTGTGAAGCATGGGTGGTGAATGTTGCTGGAGGCAGTGGAGATGTTGTTTCTGAGAGCAATGTGTGATGTGAATATAATGCAGAGAATCCATAGTTTGGAAATTAGGAGGAGGTGCGGGATTACCAAAACTATTATCAAGAGGGCTGAGGACGGGTTGTTGAGGTGGTTCGGACATGTAGAGAGGATGGAACAAAATAGAATGACTTCGAGTGTACAAATATGTAGTGAAGGGAAGGTGGGGTAGGGGTCAGCCTAAGAAAGGTTGGAGGGATGGGGTAAAAGAGGTTTTGTGTGCAAAGAACTTGGACTTCCAGCAAGCATGCATGAGCATGTTAGATAGGAGCGAATGGAGACAAATCATTTTTAGGACTTGACATGCTGTTGAAGTGTGAGCAAGGTAACATTTATGAAGGGATTCAGGGAAACTGGCAGGCCGGACTTGAGTCCTGGAGATGGGAAGTACAGTGTCTGCACTCTGAAGGATGGTAATGCTGGTGCAGTAGTAAGGATGAATGGGAGGGTGTTGGCACCTGGAGAAGTTGATATCCTTGGGGTGAAATTTGACTCCAACCTAACCATGAAGAACCATGTTGTAAATCTTGCAAACAAGGCAGCCAGGAAGCTTACAGCACTTCGCCGTATCTCGCATCTGCTTGACAGTAGGGGTTGCAAGATTCTGTACGAGGCACAAGTACGCTCACACCTTGAGTATGCTCCACTTTCTTGGTTTGCCTGCCCCCCCCGTCTCATCTGCGACTGCTTGACAGAGTAGAGAGCAGAGCAAGACGTCTCATCTCGCACCTGGACCCATCCTGGATAGATCTGTCATTTTAGCAGAGCCTTCAACACAGGAGGGATGTGGGTGGCCTTACTGTTATGTACAAGGCCAATATTGTCAAAGTACCACACTTGGATCCACTTCGAGGACAGTGTGAAACAAGCTTTTATGCCACAAGACGGGCAGAAAGCAGCAACTTCACTCTGGCTGTACCCTTCTCCAGAACATCACTCCATCTGAGATCATATATACCCAGGATGACTCGAGTATGGAACACATTCGTACAGCATAATGATGTCAACGAGGTAGTCAGTTGATCAAATGAAAACGCTGGCCCACAGATGGCTCCAACTTCATCCTGTTCCCTACTTGCATGTCTCATAACAATAAAAATGCTTTCAAATGAGCTGATGTAGGTAACAGCTCTTAGTTTGCCAATAAAGTTAGGAATCCTTAACCTGTAAATAGCTTGTCAATAAAGCTAGGGATCCTTAACCTTGTCAAACCCTGTGTAAAAAAAAAAAAGGGGGGGGGGTGTTAATGTTGCAGTTTTATAACTGTAGTGTAAGTGCACCTCTGGTAAGACAGTGATGGAGTGAATGATGAAAGTTTTTCTTTTTTGGGCCACCCTGCCTTGGTGGAAGACGGCCGATGTGTTAATAAAGAAAAATATAAACGAAAATAAATGTGGAAGATTTCGTAGTACCACTAAAAAAATGATGACCAGAGTTATATGCTAAGAAAAAATATAAATCATTAGTAAGGGCCACTCCTTACTATACTGTACTGTACTGGAATGGGATTCAAGAGAGTAGTATGCAAAATAACAACTGGAAACTTAGAAACTAAATGATGAATAAACCAGTGAAGATGTGGCTCCATGATCATAGTCCTGTTCCTGGTAAAAACAACAAATAGGTACAGTAATAGCAATAAAAATATGATTACCACAGAAGCCAAAGTGTCCAGTGTAGGATGTGTGAACAGTCTGAAGAAAAACACGAGACTGACAGGCTAAAACCTGTACGTACAGGTAGCTTCGTTGGTGGGATCTGCGAGGTTGTCTACCATAATAGGAATTATGCCAATGATTGTTTGCTCCTGTTTACAAGCTAGGATTTGCAGTAGTTTAAGGCTCTTATTTTGTGTGAGATGGGATACTGTGTGTGTGTGTATTCTGGAAGGAAACTGGACCCCAAAAGACTTATACCGTTCAGTGTGTTGTATTGACACAACAAAATCATAGAAAACAATTGACAGCTTAATTTGCAATTTACCCACTTTGAAAGGAAATTAAATTCCCACTTTTTTATGATCTCTCAATCGCATTTACAAGGAACAGATCAATCACTACTCATTGAGAAAAAGAGGTCAGAAAAGCATTTGGAATTTGATTGTTTTCAGAAATGTTAAATTGCAGATAATGTATTATGGATCATCAAGGTACAGGTGGAGTGTTTGATTTGTGCCAATAATATGTAGATATATTTTTGCCTTTTAAATTACTAAGTTTCTTGCTTTGCTAAATGTTATTTCACTATCACATTTATTAAATTTTAATAAGCTGAATTAATTTTTAAAGTTTGTAAATTTGTGGTATTTAATTTAGCGAGAATTTTGACATATTTAGTATTTTCGAAATTGCTCCTTAACAGAGCAAAGCAAGATTAATCCTTAAACTGTCCAAACGTAGATCTACGCTCGCTTGCATAGCGCTCTGAATGTAGATTACGTTTTTTTTACATTCTTAGGGAGAAAATCAAGGTCAGAGCGCTACGTGCAGAAATGTAGATTTACGTTTGGACAGTTGAAGGGTTAATTAAGGGCTAGAGTCAAGACTTTACAGCCATAATTATAGCTTATTATAAAGCTATTATGGCTTTGATTTATTAACCCAGCCCTTATATCCTGCCTCTGTGATGCCTTAAACACTACTCAAAAGTCAAACCTCGTTCCTTTAACCCCTTAGAATGTTTTGGAAAATTAACTTGCAGAGTGACTAGCATGAAACCACTGTACTAAATTGCAGAAATAGGAGAAGGTTAGCCAGTATTTTCACAACATGGAGTAATGTATTTATGGATGGTATATACCTAACCTTCATTTTCCACATTTAATGGTAATAGTGATTTATATACTCTATCAAAATTTGAAACTTCTTAAACTAGTCAACTATTCATCAGATTTAAAATTCTCAGTCAAAAAGGGGCCATCCAGACGAGGTTTGACAGTTTTATGTGCAACTCGTCATCACTTACCTTCCCAAGCAGTTTGCGGAGCACGTGTTTCGGACCTTCGATGCTAATGGGGATGGCACCATAGACTTCCGGGAGTTCTTGTGTGCCCTTTCTGTTACATCAAGAGGAAAATTGGAGCAAAAGCTGAGGTGGGCCTTCTCAATGTATGACCTAGATGGCAATGGATACATCAGTCGACAGGAGATGCTAGAAATTGTTACGGTAAGATGCATCTCATTTTTTGTCTTTCAGACCACGTCATTTTTCTCCCGCTAAGGTTGGGTGACTCGCAGGAAACAGTCACCATCAGTCATTCAATAGCTGTCTTACCAGAAGTACAGACATCACAATTCAGTTAAGAAGTATGGTATCTAATTTTTACTGTAATATTTGCTTTATCCTATGTGTAATTCAACACACACAATTCAACACATTAACTTTTAATGGAGAGGAAAAACAAGGATGAATGTAGAGTACTGTACAGTTTGGCTATTTTCATCATTTTTGGGCCTTATGATTTATATACTCCAGATTATAATTTCAAAGGTATTTTTTCTTAGTTTCCATGCTTCTAGACTAATTTGTATATAATTGTTGAGGGTATTTTAAATTTCACCATACACTGTATTGTCAGTGAACAAATTTGATGCTTTATATAAATGACATTCCAACACATGCACATAATTTTTGCAGTGAAGCATCACTTATCTACAATTCCTGAATTATCAAATATTGTACATTAATACTGAATTTTGAAGTCTTAATATATAATTTACTTAGGAAGGGTTGGAGGGAGGGGTGAAGGTGGTTTTAAGAAGTAGGGGCTTGAGCTTCCAGCAGGTATTTATGAATGCTTTAGATTGGATGGAATGGAATGAAAGTGGTTTTTGGGATTTGACATGCTATTGGAGTGTGAGCACAGTAACATTTATGAAGGGATTCATGAAAATTGGTTAGCCCTGGAAGTTGGAAGTACAGTGCCTGCACTCTGAAGGGGTAGGGATGTTACAGCTCAGAGAGGCATTTGAATTGTGATTTTGGCACACTTGTAGCAGGACAGCGACTAAATGAGTGATGGTGAATGCGCTTCCTTCTTTGAGTCTCTCAGTCTTGGTGGGAAATGGCTGGTGTGGTAAAAATATATATTAATTTCCTTAGTTGAAGTCAATCTGTTTTACATTACAGGTGCTAGTCAAGGCCTTTTGGCCCAGTTATAACAGATAATTATACTGTACTCAAGGATTGTAGAGAAATGCAACACTGTGTTCCTGTGTGACTTTCATGTTACGGTGCATGCATGACATTCCCTTCAAAATCAAGGATGGCTATATTAGCTTCAAATGTGAGCATATTTTAGTAGAGAAATAAGCTCAGTTAAAGTCTAGGAAAACCATTGCATTTCTACACATTTTAATATTTATAATGGAACCTTTGGTCACGACCATAATTCATTCTAAAACTCTTGTCGTGACCCGATTTGGTAGTGACCCAAACCTAATTTCCCTATTGGATTGTAAGTATGATTAATCGGTTCCAGACCCCTATGAACTTCATGTAAATATTGTTTTTTTAGGATTTTTAAGCACAAAAATAGTTAATTATACTATAGAATGCACAGTGTAATAGTAAACTAAATGTAAAAACCATGAACAACAGAGAAAACTAACATTGCACGAATCCGTTCTAGACCCCTACAAACCGTTCGCTATAAACTTTTTTTTTTTTTTTTTTTTTTTTTTAAGAGTTTTTAAGCACAAAAAAATAATCAAAGTTTTAAAATCCTTAAATTTTACAAAATAATGTACAGTTTAATAGAAAAAAAACTTAAATAACAGAGAAAAACATACCGTAAATAACTAAGAAAACTAACCTTGCACGAGTCGACTTCTGGCGTGAAAGAGGTGAGGAGGAAGATAAGTGGGGAGGAGGTTACTGTTTTGAGGGAGAGTCTGCCTCCACGATGGAGGGGTGTCTTCAGGCGTTTTCTCTCATTTAGCTTGTGGACCAAACTTCTCCATAAATCAATTTAAAAGTGACTTGTCTTTTCCTTCGCATCAAAACATTATGGAAATGAGAGATGACATTATTGTTCCTCATGTTCAACACTCTGTAACAGTTTTGTCGGGGTTGTTGTTCTCAAAGAAATCCTGGCACTTCTTCCATTTTTCTATGACACATCACTTTTAATCATCATCTTCCAATTTTGGCTTTTGGCCGAGCATAGCCTTCTCCTCCTGGGTGATGTAGGTCCTCCTCAGCATCTTCCAAAACAACCCAGTCTTGTTGCAGTTGAACACTTGTTGCGGGACGTATCCTTCAGCCTTCACGAATTCAGCGAAATCTTTCGCGAATGCTTCCGCAGCAGCAGCAGCGTTAGAACTAGCAGCCCTCTCCATGCCTTACCACACTATGAATGGACTTCTCTTATGAAACTTTTCAAACCATCCTCTACTGGCTTTAAATTCATCACTTTCTGCACTCGTAGAAGGGTAATTCTGCTGTAAATCACTCTCTCTCTTTCTGGCTTTCTCACAGATGATCGCCTCGCTTATGCTATCACCTGCGAGTTGCTTCTTGTTCAACCACACTAGCAACAGTTTTTCCACCTCTTCCAGCAATTGAGGCCTCTGCTTGGCTAACATTGTAACTCCCTTAGCAACACTACCTGCTTTAATTAAGATCAAGATGTTTATTTTGATAAATTACATGGTTGTACAGAGGAATATAATAGTTGGATGTACATGCCAAAAGCCCCTTTGTATGCAGAGCATTTTGGGCAAACTTAAAATTAGTAAGGCAATAATACATAGTTCATATGGTCATTAGATGAGTTACAGTGAGTACAGGAGAATTGAATATTCTATCAGGTAATGCTACATGGTGTTGATAAGTCTAATAGAGACTTATTACACTGTTGAATTAGTTAATAAAGATTACAGTATTACAATGTAACAATTTACAATATATGTATATATGTATGTAGCAGGCACAATAATAAGTGTGCATGTTTTGTATATTTAGCAAGTTAAGACTCTTGAAAATAGGTGGAGTGTGTTGTCTAATGCAGGAGTTAGTAATCAATCGCACTGCAGCTTTTTGCTG